TCAACTGTATCACGCATTACTTTCGGCTTTACTCACACTTACAAACTGACCCAAAGCTGTGGATTTGCATCTTAGACCGGGGTCAGCGCACAATGGCATCAATGACCGGCAAGAATTAACAAGGCTTTAATGACCTGCCCAATTGACTAATCCTGCAAGCCGCCACTTGTTAAAATTTCAATATGCACTTAATCCTTAGGTCAGGATGGCCAAAAAGGACCAGCCCTTCCCCCTCAAGCAGCAGGTCAGAAGCAGAAAGCTTGGGTTTTAGATCAGATGTCAGCGAGAAGAAGCCACAATGTGGGGTCCCCCAGATGACCTCCTTTTCTTTCTGATCAGACTGACCAAAAATCACAGATTACCTTGACCATTCTGTGACCCAGCCAGCTGCAGGTTTTCCCCAGCAGCCTTGAACTCAAACCAGGGCCCTGAACACTCCCAGGCACTAACAAAGGTATCTAGGTTGTTGCCCCAAACATTGAAAGAAACTGGCTCCAGCCCTGAGTCAAATTCCCTAAACCCTCATATAACCTCCATCCCCTGACCCCCTTGCTACAGACATGCCGAGGCAGAACAGCCCTTTTCCCTCCCTGTTGGCAGGGAGGACTGCTGCAGCCCTCTGTAAGTTCCCCTAATAGATGCTTTGAATTGATCACCCTGACATCTGAGCTTCTTTCTTTGGAATCCCAATTGGCCCCATCTCTGGAGGGTTTGGGCCACTCCCTGTGGGAATTCCCCTGCTGCTGCTTTTGTGATGATTCCAGCTGCGAGTTTGGTGAGATGAAACACGCAGGGCTGGCGTGGAATTCTTTTGTCTCCTCTCGTAGAAACAACAGGGACCCTCAGAGACAGAAAAATACCCAGAGCTCCTCTTTGAGAGCTGGTACAAACTGTCTCTTTGGTATAGAGTAGTGGCGGCTCATAAAAACCCACTCGATTTTGGTTTTAAAAAAATCTGCAGAACTTCAGAGTGGGTAGTAATTAACACAAGAATGTGTAATTTCCGATATGAGTGGACCACCCAGAAGGTTTCGAATTCATCCACTCCTGTGGTCCCCAGTTCCTTGTTTTCTTAGGAAAATTTCCTCTTTTACATCCATCTGTACCTAATGGTTCATGCTTTGCTCTGACTCCCACTGTGTCTTACCATGTTTGTGTTCTTATGTTTCTCACTCTCAGCCTCTCTTCCCTTTCTCTCCTTCCCGTCTCTCACAGCTTCCTCTGTCCCCGGTGCTTTCTGCATCTTTTGTGCCAGGTGCTCTTTTCCTTTCTCTCCACTTCTGTCTTTCCAGGAGCCTTTGCAGAGCTCTCTCTGTGTTGGCTTCCTCATGCCTGACGATTTCTTGGGCTTCTGTGCCTCAGCTCTCCATGCCCGCCCCTCATCCTCAGATGGCTTCGTGCCCGTGATGCCCTGAATATTCCCAGAACAAATACTCACCACAATGAAGCCCAATCCAACAAAGAGTGCAACAGTAACCGTGGTTGCAGTCAGGGATATGAGGATAATTCCCATGGATGTCAGGAGCCTGGTAGGTTTCACTGCTGTGACTGAAGTAGTTCGCAGAAGGTGAATGTCACCATGTTTAGTGATTTCATCTTCTGTGGTCCAAGAGCCTGCAGTGACAGAGTCCTCGGTGGTCCCTGGGTCTGCAGTGATGTGGTCCTCAGTGGTCCTTCCATCTGCAGTTACATCATTTTCTCTTATTCTTGAGTCTTTAGGGCTGGTCTCTGGGTGCTTAGTGGAAATGCTTTGACTTAGTCCTACTAAAAAGTAATTCCATTGAACGTGAATTGTTGATGGCCTATCCTCATCTGCTCTGCTCAGTATTTTCATAACTATCCTCATATCCAAATGACACATCTTCTCAGGTAATGTGGTGAGATTTATTCGAGTTAGGGATCATTTGGCATTTTTGGTTCAATTCCGGTAAAACATATTCCACAAAGAATCCTCTTGTACTGCAATATGGATTATCTTTGCTGAGCCACGCCCTTCGAAGGCCTGCTCACCCAGCTTTGACTCTGTCTTTTCCAGGTCTGGTCTCTTTCCATGGGACACTAAACCTGACTCTTTCTCAAGCTCACTCCTCTCTGAGTTGGTGTTTCAGCAACTGGGGTATTCTGGCTTCATGTTCATAGGTGTCTCCTCTCATCCAGTTGTGCCTGGGGTTCTGGCAAATCAATGAGGCAGAAGTTGTGATTCATGTTAGAGATTACACTCAGGTCATGCTTGGTGTATGATTAAAAATGAGACAGCTGGCCGGGCGCTCCATCTCAAAAAAGAAAAAAAAAAAAAAGAATGAGACAGCTTCTGGGTCAGATCTGGGGCTAACGTGGTAGGCTTGGAGGCAGGGAAGATTCAAGGTGGTATGGGGGCAGGTTTAGGGGAGGAGTCATGAGGGGTGTGGGTGTGATCTAGTTGGACTGAGGGCAACACTGAGTCGGGTACAAGTACAAAGAAGAGATGAGTCCTCTTCGTCTCCAGCCCTCACTGCCACAGGTAGTCTTCAGGACTTGGGAGTATTTATTCTTAGGAATACATGTAGCCTACGTGGCATAAATTTTGAAATTTTGGGACTCCGCCCAAATCTAGTCATCTCTCCCTACTGCTGATGCTCCACATTTTTCTAATAGGGTTCAAGTCTTCCTTCCTTTCTTCCTTCCTTTGTTCCTTCCTTCCTTTCCCTCTCTCTCTCTCTCTTTCTTTTTTTCTCTTTTTTTTTTTTGTTCTTGAGACAGAGTCTCCCTTTGTCTTCCAGGCTGGAGTGCAATAGTGTGATCTCCACTCACTGCAACCTCCGCCTCCCGGGTTCAAGCGATTCTCCTGCCTCAGTTTCTCAAGTAGCTGGGATTACAGGCACGCGCCACCAGACCCGACTACGTTTTGTATTCTTAGTAGAAACTGGGTTTCATCATGCTGGCCAGGATGGTTTCAAACACCTGACCTCAGATGATCCACCCGCCTCAGCCTCCCAAAGTGCTGAGATTACAGGCATGAGACACTGCACCTGTTACTTTTTTTTTCTCTCTTTTTCTTCTCTTTTTTTTTTTTTGAGACGGAGTCTTGCTCTGTGGCCCAGGCTGGAGTGCAGAGGCGTGATCTCACTCACTGCAAGCTACGCCTCCCGGGTTCACGCCATTCTCCTGCCTCCGTCTCCCAAGTAGCTGGGACTACAGGCACCCACAACCACACCGGCTAATTTTTTGTATTTTTAGTAGAGACAGGGTTTCACCATGTTAGCCAGGATGGTCTTGATCTCCTGACCTTGTGATCCACCCCCTTCTGTCCAAAGTGCTGGGATTACAGGCATGAGCAACCACGCCTGGACTTTTTTTTTTTTTGGACATAGGGTCTTGTTCTGGTTCAGGCTAGAGTTCAGTAGCACAAACATGGCTCAATGCAGCCTTGACCTCCTGGCCTCAAGTGATCCTCCCACCTCAGCCTCCCGAGTAGATAAGACTATAGGCATGGACTACCAAGCCTGGCTGATTTGTTTGGTTTTTGTAGAGATGGTGTCTCACCATGTTACCCAGGCTTGTCTCAAACTCCTGGACTCAAGGGATCCCACTCCTTCCCAGCCTCCCAAAGTGCTAAGTGCTGGCATTACAGGAGTGCCAAATCTTTCATTTCTCAAGGAAAGTTGAAACAAAGAAACTGAAATAAAATGCACAAGATCAAAAGTAGAACATTTCCTTAAAAGGGGATATGAGAAAGACGCTGGGGTCGCTGCTTCCCTGTGGCAGGTGATTGAAGGCAGATAGCAGGGTCCAGAGCTTCCCGAGGTTCACTCACCTATTCCGTACCTTAGCTCAGGACTGGCCCTGTCTGAGTCCCAAGAGGTTCCTTCTCCAGGGACCCTGACTCCATCTCTCCAGGCCCTGGAAACTTTTGCATCCTTCTCACCAAAATTAACTCCCCCACCCCGTTCTGAACACCTCAGGAGAAGCTGGAGCAGCAGAAGGGGGGATGTAGCCGGGCATTTTCTTCTCATCTCAAGAGAATCCACACAGCGCTAGCCAGGACAACTTTTCCTCCCTCCTTGTCTCAACCTTTTTCCACCCTGCCCTTCTCCTTCCGCCCACAGTGGCTGTGGGTTTATATGTGCTTTGCCGAGGGAAGCCAGGGCTCCAGGTCTTACTTCTTGGAGGGAGGAGCAGCTTCTTGATGACCCCCTGTCACTGAAAGGAGTGGTCGGGCCGGGCAGAAGAGGCTGTCACGAGGGGGACAGGGGCTCTCAGCTTTGGACCGGAGCCCGAAGTCGAGCAGTCACAGGGAATCAAGCCTGTCAGTGTGAGTGCGCTGCTTTCTGATGTGGAACCTAGTTGAAAACAATCCTCCACCTGGTGTTTCAGTGCTCAGGGAGGGCCTCAGCCTTCCTTCCCACAGGTGGCCACAGTAAAGTCAGGATGACCAAGGAGGCCATAGGCCAGGCCTGCCTGGGGGATGATGCTTGGCAAGAGGAGAGCTGGGTGTCAGAAGGTAGAGGACATTTGGTAAGGACCAAGAGGAGGTCCCCCAACAGAAGGAGAGGAACACTCATAAGGGGGCTATAAACACCCAATCTCTCTCTCTCTTAAAGCCCCCCTCTTCGCTCAATCATCCACCCAAATCCTCTTCCTTGGCTTCTCTCCAGCCCACAGATCTCTCTCGATGCTCCCCCTACTCGAGTGCCCTCACCCCAGGGAGCTTTCTCAATTACGGCATGTATTAGTCTGTTTTCACGCTGCTAATAAAGACATACCCAAGACTGGGAAGAAAAGAGGTTTAATTGGACTTACAGTTCCACATGGCTGGGGAAGCCTCAGAATCATGGAGGGAGGCAAAAGGCACTTCTTACCTGGTGGCGGCAACAGAAAATGAGAAAGAAGCAAAAGCGGAAACCCCTGATAAACCTATCAGATCTCATGAGACTTATTCACTATCACGAGAACAGCAAGAGAAAGACGGGCCCCCATGATTCAATTACCTCCCCCTGGGTCCCTCCCACAACACCAGGGGAATTCTGGGAGCTACAATTCAAGCTGAGATTTGGATGGGGACGCAGCCAAGCCATTTCACTGCGCAAAATTAGTCTGCTTGTGGTGAGGTCAGGCCTGAATGAGAATACCCACATCTTTTCCTTCTTCTCTGACCCTCATCCCTGCCTCACCCGCCCACTCTTTAGAAGATCACTGTTGGTTCCCATCTTCATTCAGAGGTGTCTCTCACCATTTGTGGGGGCCTCTCTCTTTCCCAGTGTCCTTCTAACTAAAAGAGGAGTGTGAAATTACAGGTGGGCCAGGAACTGTCCCCCTCTTACAAGGCAGCTGATTTCCTGAAAATCAATTTAATGAGTGGCTAATTTGCCAAATTTAATTGATTATGTTAACTACTAGTATTATTTGAATGTATTAAATATTTCCTTCCCTCCTTCCTTCCTTCCTTCCTTCCTTCCTCTCTCTCTCTTTGTTTTTGACAGAGTCTTGCTGTATTGCCCATGTTGGAGTGCAGTGGTGCTATCATGGCTCACTGCAGCCTTGATCTCCCAGGCTCAAGTGATCCTTCCACCTCAGCCTCCTGAGTAGATGGGACTATACGCGTGCACCACCACGCCCAGCTGATTGTTTTTTCATTTTTGGTAAAGACAGAGTCTCACTATATTGCCCAGGCTAGTCTCAAACTCCTGAGCTGAAGAGATCCTCCCTCGTCAGCCTCCCAAAGTGCTGGGATTACAGGTGTGAGCCACTTCGCCCAGCAACATTTTCAAACATAATATTTAAATACATTCAAAAGTATTTGTATATATTTAGTATAACTCATGAATAGATTTCAAAAGAGTATAGTAAGGAAAATATATGATTTTCTAAGTCAAGAGGTATAATTTGCATATGATAAAATTCACCCTTTTTCATGTACAAGTCAATAGAATTATTTTGGTTTGGTTTGGTTTGGTTTTAGAATTTTTAAAACTTCATTTTGAGATAATTTTAGACTTACAGAGAATTATAAAAGTAGTTACAGAGTTCCCATATATTTTTCCCCTAGCTTTTCCTCATGTCAATATCTCATATAGTACAATTATATTTATAGAAACTGAGAAATTATATATACAATTATAGAAGCTAAGAAGTTATTGTTGGTAAAATCCTTTGTTGTTGTTGTTGTTGCTGCTGCTGTCCAGGGTGGAGTGCAATGGCATGACCTCGGCTCACAGCAACCTCCACCTCCCAGGTTTAAGTAATTCTACTGCCTCAGCCTCCTGAGTAGCTGGGATTACAGGTGTGTAATCCTAATGGTGATAGATTAGATTCCTTCTACATTTATTAATTGAAATTCTTCTGTAAGAAAAAGGTGTGCCCTTTCCCCATTTTATTTATTCAACTATTTGTTTATATCAGTATGGACTCATAAATGTTTATTTTGTTCTGTGAGTTATGATCCAATACTATCGCTATTTATTTTGTTGCTCAAACTTTGGCCACTGGGAGCTCTTTCAGATGGGCTCCAGTGCTGTTTTAATATCCTCCATCCTTTTTTTGTTTTGTTTTATTTTTGAGACAAGACTTCACTGTGCTTCCTAGGCTGAATTACGGCAGCACCATCATACAGCCTCAGACTCCTGGGTTCAAGGGATCCTCCTGCCTCAGCCTCCTACAAGTAGCTAGGACTACAGGCGTGCACCAGCCCACCCAGCTGATATCTCCATTGCTACTTTGTTTTGTTTTTTGAGACAGGGTCTCATTCAGTTGCCCATGCTATAGTTCAGTGGTACAATATTGGCTCACTGTAATCTCTGTATCCTGAACTCAACTAATCCTCCCATCACAGCCTTCCAAGTAGCTGGGACAACAGGTGTGTGCCACCACACCCAGCTAATTTTTTTTTTTTTTTTTATAGAGACAAAGTTTTGTCATATTGCTCAGGCTGGTCTTAAATTTCTGGGCTCAAGCAATCCACCTGCCCTGGCCTCCCAGAGTGCTGGGATTACAGGCTCAAACCACTGTGCCCAGCCTTTCTATCCGTGTGTGTGTGTGTGTGTGTGTGTGTATGTGATGGGGTTTCGCTCTTGTTGCCTAGGCTGGAGCGCAATGGTGTGATCTCAGCTCACTGCAACCTCTGCTTCCCGGGTTCAAGCCTCAGCCTCCCAAGTAGCTGGGATTACAGGCACGCGCTACCATGCCCAACTAATTTTGTATTATTTTAGTAGAGATAGGTTTCTCCATGTCGGTCAGGCTGGTCTCCAACTCACAAATCTCAGGTGATCCCCCTGCCTGGGTCTCCCAAAGTGTTGGGATTACAGGCGTGAGCCACTGCGCCCAGCCCTCTCCATCCCTTTTAAAAACACTTTCTTGTGTTCTGGTATTACAAGATGCTTCATGCTCATTTTGCATTTCCTCCATCTGGGCCTTGGAATCAACTATTTCTTCACAGAGCTCTGGCTCTTCTTTGTATTAGAGAATAATATTTAGAAACCAATATTTGGGTACCAGGTGTGCTCATTCATAATGAGTGTCACTGCTTCTTGCCACCACGGAAGTTAGAGCTAGGAAATGTATGTATGTATACTAACTCATGGATAAACACATGTCTGTATTTATTTCTGTAATTATCTGTCTGCGTATATAGGTTGAATCCCTTATCTGAAATGCTGGAGACCATAAGTGTTTCGATCTGAAATGCTTGAGACCATAAGTGTTTTGGATTTTTGGTTTCTTGGATTTCAAAATATTTGTATATACACAATGAGATATGTTGGGGATGAGACCCAAGTCTAAACATGAAATTTATTTATGTTTTATGTATACCTTATACATGTAGTCTGAAGGTAGCTTTATGCAATATTTTAGGTAATTTTGTGCATAAAACAAAGTTCGTGTATGTTGACTTGTGGTGTCATGTTGGTGCTCAGCAAGGTTTGGACTTTGAAGCATTTTGGATTTTCAGATGAGCGTTGCTCAACCTGTGTGTTAAACACAAATGTGGGTGCATTTTGACACCTCCAGTTTTAATCCAGCAATGTGGGGTTCATTCTAGTCTTTCCCTTTTCTTTATTTGTATCTCCTTTCTCTAACATGGCTATGAATACCTATAAAAATATTTTTTACTTATTTTTTCAACCTGAATAAACAAATGGTGGTTTCAGAACTGCTAATTCATACCCTTGCCAGAAACACATTTACCAACTACAGTACAGTACAGTTTTTCTGTATTATTATTATTATTATTGTCTTTAGCTTTTGGTCAAAACACAGTTTTTCTTTTTTCTTTTTTAAATTTGAGACAGGGTCTTGCTCTCTTACCCTGTCTGGAGTGCAGTGGCACTGCAGCCTTGATCTCCTGCACTCAAGCTATCCTCCCATCTCAGCCTCCTGAGCAGCTAGGACTACAGGCACACCATCATGCCCAGCTAATTTTTAAATCTTTTGTAGAGGCGGGGGTCTTGCTGTGTTGCCCAGGCTGATCTCAAACTCCTGTATTCAAACAAGCCTCCTGCCTTGGCCTCCCAAAGTGCTAGGATTATAGGCATGAGCCACCATGCCTGACTCAAAACACAGTTTTTCAAAGTTACTTAGGCCAGCTCCTTCTTCTCCATCCCCTTCACTATGTTTACAAATGAGTCATTTGTAAGAGTCTGCATTCCATCTTTCCCTCCACATCCTGGTTGATTTGCTGAATTTCCATACCTTAAAAATCACTTTTTGTAGTGTACAGTTCTATGGATTTTGATAAATGATAGAGTCACATATTCGGCATACTGAATCCCTTCATCCTCCTCCATCTCCCGCAATGCTGTTCCTTTAGAACCAACCCTTTTCTCAACTCCCAAACCCTGGCAACGTGGATCTTGTTTCTTTCCCTATAATTTTGTCATTTTCAGAATGTCATATGAAGGGAATCATATAGTCTGTAGCCTTATAGTTTTAGATATAATTTATATATTATTCATAAGAATATTATTTGCAATTATTCATCAGAGTCAAGAAAAAATAATATTTTCTTGCACATATTTTT